TGATTGCGCAAAATGAAGTTGCATCATAATTTTGAATGGCTTACGTCCCAGCCAATCAACATTTTTTAGGGTCATTTTCGTTTTCAGCAAAATTATGTAAGATTAGCTAATTTTAATAAGTGGCAACCTCCCCAGTCTATAATTAGTCTTTACAGTAAGGTACTCCCTAACTATTAAGGAACTACAATGGGCACCACTATGCTCCTACCCTATTAATATAATCATCCATTCTTTTTAAATAGCTGGAATTTTTTTTCTAATCAAGGGAAGGACTGGTACTATTAAATTAAGTTGCATAACAACAATATCATGTAAAAAATAATATTATGACTTTCATTCACCTATTTCCTTTAAAGCATGCAAAGGTGACAGTAGAAAATATGAATATGCTACAAGCCTTATAACTTCTGGCATCAAGAAAATGTGACCTACTGCAGAGAAAATGTAGTTTTGGATAATTTTGGCCTATTATTTTTGCACTTTTCCAAAATAAGCAGGGACGGAAGGCTTCTGGACATGCCTTATCTTCTGCTTTCATAGGCACATACATGCATGCTCAGATGTTTTTAGCATCCATGTTTATATAGTAGTCAAGAAAAAAAACAATTGAATGTGCCTGCATTACTGACTGCCCACTAATGCCTGTGGCCAGCGTTGGCTGAATAAATAAATGTGTGATGGTGGCCTTTACGACGAACAAATGAGAGTGAATCTGTTGGACTCTAGGGAGTAAATATAACCTTCAGGGCCTTTCAAGCCAGGTTGTGTTAATCAGAAAATAAATGAGAGGTTGTTATACAATTTCTGATACAGATGACAAAGATAAGATTAGGAGGCAGGATGGAGTTTTGCACAGAGAGCACTAGGCATGTGCTAAGATATGATTGTGCTGTCTCTCCCTGGTGAATTTATAGAGATAAGCAGCCTTAGCAAATTACTATTTAGCACATCTTTTTCTTTGGCTCTTTCAATGCCTGCATTAATTTTAATGAAAGTCTATCTCCAGATTTGTATTGCATTAGCTGGTTACTTTTCTCCTTCTTTTGTTTGCTTCTGCCATTGTGAAGAATGGTTCAAGCGTGATGGGGTAATTTCAGCACAAATAAGGATTGATACACTGCCGGCTCTATTACAGAAGAAATAAAAAAAAAATAAAATGAAGTATGCTCACAAGCATATACAGGGCAACATTTTTATGAACTAAAAAAAATGACGTTTTTTAAACACTTTAGCATACTCCAGTTACATGTTGTCTTTTTCTACTAAGATCATTCTTCTAGTGCTAAAATGGGTATTCATATACAGTGGGGCAAAAAAGTCGACAGCTCTTTAGTCTTCACCATAGTGGAGTTTGGAGTGTGACTGTTTGAGGTTGTGGACAGGTGTCTTCTATACTGATAACAAGTTCAAACAGGTGCCATTGATACAGGTAATGAGTGCAGGACAGAGGAGCCTCTTAAAGAAGAAGGTACAGATCTGTGAGAGCCAGAAATCTTGCTTGTTTGTAGGTGACCAAATACTTATTTTCCACCATAATTTGCAAATAAATTCTTTCCCAAATCAGCCAATGTGATTGTCTGGATTTTTTTTCTCATTTTGTCTCTCATAGTTGAGGTCTACCTATGATACCAATTACAGGCCTCTCTCATCTTTTTAAGTGGGAGAACTTGCACAATTGGTGGCTGACTAAATACTTTTTTGCCCCACTGTATAATAAGCAAATAATATGCACTCTTTTTTCAATTCTTTAGTTATATATCTGAAAGATTAATAATTATACATGTTGTTTACACCCAACAAGGCCAACAAATACAGGCTATGACACATCCATAACAGTGCCATGTGCATACATTTTTGTCACATATGAACCTCCTACCTCTTTATATGAGTATGATAAATTATAAAAATTCCTATTCTATCCAAAAGAGCCTTTTATTTTTCAACAGACTAATTCTAATTTTCCCAAAATACCCATAAGAAAACCAAAACAACAACACAAAAAAACAAAACGAAAGAAAAAAAGGAAGAAAAAAACCCTCCAACAACCCCACACTCAAACCTCCCTTCTTCTTATCTCTCCTACCCTTCCCACATCTCAGGTGAGTCTTTATCTCTCTAAAAGCCTCCCAGAATTTCCCAGGCTAATTGCTCTTTGTATAGAAGGAAAGGAGACCATGTATTCCAGTACAGCTCACTCAGTTCCCTCTTGGCCGTAGTTAAGTCTTCAATTATTTGGATTTCCATTATTCTCGCCAGCCAGTGAGACTTAGTGGATCCTTATTTTTCAGGCTGCTGGAATACATGCCCTTGCCACCGTAATGAGATCTTTTAACAAAGATTTTCTATAATAAATAATCTGTACTCTAACATAGCAATGTATCTCCAACAACCAGTAAGGTTAGTTCATTTTCTTTTTTTTACCTTTTCTTTACTTGATATAGAATGTACTCACATTGGGACTGCTGCAGTTAGTTTTTTCTATGTTCCAAAGACTGAACTAATCTAGGCAGAGCAAAATAAGGTATCTTCATTGAAACAAGACATAAGGTCAAAGGATATCTTGCTGGGCAATGTCGTGAGGATACCTTACTCTGATCTACTAAGAGAGAACGGGATGTACACGTACACACCTGTCTGAGGTCACCTATAATCAGTACAGCCTGTATCTAAGCACATATTCACTCTTCTAACAGCAGCTGAGCTTTTAGAATAAAAGACAATTATTTTAAAACTTTTAATATAATTTTAATGCAGCATATTTGCTTTTCCTAATTATGGCACATTGTTGAGGCTTCACAATGAGTTTAAAAAGAAAAGTTTTCTAAGCAAATCTTTTTTTTAATATTTAAATAGAGTGGGGAAGAGTTGGAACCTTTGTCTGGTTTCTATTGCTGTCTGTGTGCCTGCTGGAGAAAGTCATCGTCTATTTGTGTACTCTATAATGTATTAATATCCATTCCCATTGGGAAGACAGAAGGCAACAGGAAATTGTCCCTGGAACAGTACTAGGTAATCTTGCAATCTGGATACCTGTTCCAGAGAAAACTGTCTAAGAGGGAATTTCCCCACACTGTAAAGAGATTTTTTTCTATTGCCTGTTGTGTCTCCAGAACAGGAAATAAAGGAAAATCTCACCCAATGGACAAAGAGAGCAAAAAAGGCTGATATGTGTTTTAACTGTTCCTTATTCGTAACATACATTTTATTTAAAATACTATTTTTCTTTTCCTTCATAGTTCTCAAATATTATATATTTAAGCTTGTATGTATGTGAAGGTTAATACCTCTACTCTGCCATTTAGGAATGTATATTACTTGTGGAGGACGGAAAAATATCTTTTACTTGCTAATCATATCCAATGTTGTTTATTGTAATACTATGGAAAACAAAATAAATTTTAAAAAAGCATGCATAATATTAGAATGTCATGCTGTACCCATCACATAAACATGTACCTGATGAATCTCACAGCTAGCAGAAAGAAAATTAATATCTGAGACAACACACCTCCTTGTGCCCAGTCTGGCTGTGTAATATAGTTGCATGTGCTTGTACATGTACCTCTGAGAATTGCTTTCTACACACCACTAATAACTATTGCTTTGATTAATCTTTAGCAACATATGCAATTGCTTAGCTCAATTTATGGTGAACAGATAAGGAAGTAAACACATGCAAGCACAGTTTAGACAGCCTTGTACTATTGACCTCAGTGAAGCAGGCAGCAAACCTTCACATCAGTTAAAGATGCTTTATTAATTGTATAAATGCCCCTGTTCCTCATTTAGAGTTTGATATTTCACAAATTCTTTGAACTTAGTAGTTTAGCAGCTTTTTAGAATAGTTTTGTATTAAAAATTATTTAATGAACTGTCCTATACTTTCTGCATGATCTCCTACGTAGGATAGATCTCAGAGATCACCCATGGAGGTGTCAATTTGTGAAAAAGAGAAATGCCAGTGATTCTGATGGTCACAGCTTATCTCTCATGTGTACCAGTTTATGTAGCTGAGATGAGGAGCGCAGAACATGTTCTCTGCTTCTCATCACAGCACACACATCTTCTGATAGATGGACTGTTTATGAAGGTGAGATCTGAACACCCCACTGGCCATCTCTGTAAAATATCTCCATTCAAGTTCTTTTTGAGGACAGATATCTGAATCAACTAGTCAGATGCACATTCAGTATAGCCCAAAACATCCCACATGACCCCTGCCTCATACCACCAACCAGGTCCAAATCTGCTAAACCCCTTCCACAATGCACCTTCATTACCAGATATATTACAAATCATATTTCCATCCTTTACACAAATATGATTTACCTCCCCAACTAAAAATACGTTTCTGAAGAACCAAGATTTTAACAAGAACTTGGCTCACGGCAAAACACCTATGATCCAGAACAAACTAATCTCTACAAATAATGCAGGAACTTTTAGATACAATACCCAAGATGCCTCTGCTGAACAATTGTGGGTGATGGAATCAAATGTTTCCTGTCCACTAATACCCTAGCAACTTAGTCTATTATGTCCCATCATAACTGCACTTCTCAGTTCAAAATAAACCTATTCACCTGTGCTTGCCAACTGCACTATAACAGTTGAACAATTCAAACATTTTGCTAAAGTTTTATCATAAATAGATTCAATATATGAAAGGTTTCTTGGACCGCAACATTTTGGCACAATTTTGTTTCCTCTTTATTACCAATTTTTTTAATATTAGTGTTCACACAAACTCACTACCTTACTCACTGATATAATTTTCCTTTGAACTCTCAATCATTCATCCATTTAATCTCTGTTCATCTCATTAACCGCCTTCCGCCCATCATATAAGGCAGTGACGGGTGTAAGGTGGTTCTCTCGTTTTGGGAGGACATCATATGCCATCCTCCCACTCTAAACCGCGCATGTGATCGGTGGTGCGTTGTGTCCCTTGGACACAGCGGATCACTGATCAACGGAAAGAGCCGAAGATGTCGGTTCGGTCATGTGATCAGCTGTGTCCAATCACAGCTGATCACGTGTAAATAGGGAAATGCCGGTTATCGGCATTTTCTCTCCTCACAAGCTGTCATGCTGACAGCTCGAGAGGAGAGCCGATAATCTGCATTCCTCGGAGGGGACATGGGCACTGATCATCAGGGCACTGATGATCAGTGTGCTCTGCATGATCAGTGTGGCCCCAGCAGTGCCACCTGTCAGTGCTAATCAATGCCAATTGTCAGTGCTCTTTAATGCCAGCTACCAGTGCAGTGCCCATCATGCCACATATCAGTGCCTACTAGTGTACATGAATGCCACATATCAGTGCCCATCTGAGCTGCATTTCAGTGTCACCTATCAGTGTGCCAGTCAGTACCACCTATCAATGCCAGTCAGTGCCACCTATCAGTGCTGCCAATCAGTGCCAGTCAGTGCTGCCTATCAGTGTGCATCAGTGCCGCCTAACAAAGCCAGTCAATGCCACCTAACAGTGCCAGTCAGTGCTGCCTATCAGTGCCAGTCAGTGCCTCCTATCAGTGCCACCTATCATTGCTGCCTATCAGTGCCATATATGAGTGCTGCCTTTCAGTGCCCATCAGTGATGCCTGTCAATGCCTATCAGTGGCACCTACTAGTGCCTCCACATCAGTGCCCATCAGTACCACTTATCAGTGCCCATCACTACAGCCTCATTAGCACACATCAGTGAAGGGGAAAAATCACTTATTTACAAAAACTAAGAAAAAACTTGTTTTTTTCAAAATTTTCAGTTGTTTTTGGTTAGTTTAGCAAAAAATAAAAAACCCAGAGGTGATTGAATACAACCAAACGAAAGCTCTATCTGTCTCAAAAAAATGATAAAAATTTCATATGGGTACAGTGTTGCATGACCGCGTAATTGTCATTCAAAGTGTGACAGTGCTGAAAGCTGGACTGGGCAGGAAGGGGGTATAGGTGCCCTGTAGGCTAGTGGTTAATTTTCCTTTAGAGCACCTTCCTTCTCCGTGACTAACCCCACCTTCTATCGGTTTATACATTTACATTTTTAGGTGCTAACATCAATCAAAGATTCAGTCAGCTGCCCTCGTGTTGGTCAGATTATGCTGGCATTCCGGACTGTTTCCACCCCATGTTCCTCGGCTAATGCTCATTAACAATTTTAACTTCGTGCTATACTTCATATTATCTGATTTTCCACTCTTCTCTTTCTTTTACACAAACACTCCACCTCTGCTGTGTTTGTTTCCCAGCTCACAGGACACTCACTTAACCCCACATATTTTGTTTCCCTACCTGTCTCATCTTTCTTTGTTCAACACTGATTATTTCACCAGTCCAGATACCATCATTCACTTGTATCTCTTAGCAAAATTCTGTTCTAGCTCCTTATTTCCTGGCTACAACCATTGTTGCACACCCTCAATTGCTTTCTCAATGCACCAGTTATCCCATCCTGGTCACCTTGCCATCTCATTCCACTTTTTTTTTCCTTCCTTCTGGTGTTTCACTACCACATATTTCCCTCAATGTCTCTGTTTTTTTAACTGATCATTGATCCATATGGTACATTTCCCTGACTCCACCAACTACCTCGACCCTGCACCATCACAGCCTCTGCCCACAGTCTCTGCTCAGCACACATCCCCATATATTTTTTTACTTTTCCAGTTAGTAGCTTTCAGTTTTCTGTCCCATTAATTCCCCATTCGAGGCTATCCAGTAAACTCTGCCTTGAGCAAATCACAAAATATTCTATAAGGTTTGTCTTTTTTTTAAATATATTTATTTTATCCTTTTTTGATCTAGTTCATTTTTATAATGTATATATTGTTCATACTTTCTTGATGTAAAGGAATATTTTTGTGGTGTTTGCATCCTCCGCTTTTCTCTGCATGCTCATTGGTGTGAATTTACTTGTTTAATGGCCACAAATTGCAGAAGGTATTATTGTAGTAAATCTATGTTCATTCCAACAACTCAATATTGAGTCAATGAAAAAGTAAAAACAAGGTTTCTCCTAAAATTACTGAATTATTGGAAAGATCCTAAAAGTTAAGGTATAAAATGTTATACCCTTTCTACATCATTGAAAAAACACAGACTAAAATAAAAGTAATAGTCAGTAGGTACAAACTGCTCATTATGATTGTATTCACATGTTTCATGATGTTTTGAAGTCAAATTTAAAATAAATTTCTGTGCTTGGTTTGCAGAATAGAATTTCCCATTTTGTTCCCTGTTGATGTTAAAATCATTCTCATGTTTAAAGGTATATAGATTTTATTTTTGATGGAATCTTTTCAAGAATGTTAGAATCCCACTGTGAAGATTAATTGCTCTTAGCAGTCTGCTATAATGCCCACCTGTCCAACAATGTGCTATGCCTTGACACTGTTAAATATGCGTTTCCATAGCTTGAAAATAACCATAGTCACAAGAGACAGAGGTACTTCTCACGAATGCTCTACAGCCCAACGTTTAACATTAGATATTAATTTCATGTTCAATGCTCCTTTGAAATGCTCAAAATTCAGTGGTTTTGTTTAACCAATAGCAGTAATCATTTGTATATCAGAATGCAGTACAAATATGTACTAAAATTATCTTGTTGGGCTTATTCTTTAAAGCAGCATAAAAAGAAATTATGATGTGCAAAGTGCAGTAATTTTCTAGTCAACCACATCAACCAGTCTGATGTCACTACAATAAAACCTTTGGTTGCTGCAGATGATTACACTTTGTATATTATTTTAGCATGCATTTCTAGCCTACAACCTTGCAGTTACAATTCTATACATTTGTGAGTGCTTTGTATTTATTAACAGCTATGGTAATCATTTATATATTTAAGGATAACTAATTGTGCACTTTATTGGGTCACGGTGAGCGGTATATTGTCATGGACAGCTTTGGGTCACCAGCAACCTGTATAGTTGGCTAATGGAATATGCTGGGTGCTGACAGGCTGGTTACCGGACTTTGGACTGCAAACAGTGAGTACTGGCGACCCTGTGTAGCTTTTTTGGTCAATCAGCTGCTTATATGATCAATGCAGGCTGGACTGGAGACACAGTTTGAGGTTGCTCTATTGGTACCGATACCAGCTTTATCACCTGCAAATCAGCTCCAACTCCTACATTACACACTTGGCATTGCTGCTATCAGAGTTAACACTGCTGGACATTTGGTTTATATATACTACTTTGGACTGTCGGTTTTGCTACTATATTACCAGACTGGAATCATCTACATCTAGCAGTGGTCATGATCCACTGACTACATAATTTGCATTATTGTGTGCGTTTCAGTTTGCCATCCATCTAGCTCATCCATCCATCTGGGACCATGGAATCACAGTGCCTCCAGCCATACAGTTATTTATGTCTATAGATCATTACTGGCTTTCAGCATTAACCGGTTTAGGACTCTTCTGTGTGCTCCATGGACTGTTATGTGCCATTTATTCACAGGTGTCTTTATTTCAGGCTCCAAATTATATGGTCTACTTAGCTCATTTAGGATGCTTATAGACTGCCAGCACGTCTAGTCGCATTTGTGCAGCTTTGGGAGTGTGTTACATCAGGGGGGATTTAGAGGTGGTTTAGTTATTCAGCTTCTCCCATCTGGGTTTGGAGGGGTGCGGGTGGGTGTCCCTTTACAGGAGGCAGTTTTTGGGTGGGGCTACCTTTTGGTGGGTGGGGTTTCACAGGGAGGTTTTGGGGTATAGGTAGGGGGTGTATCAATCCATTTAGGGGATCTGGGGGGTCTCTGGGGTGGGGAGGGCTTTTGGGTCATTGATTTGTGATGCTTTTACTTCATGTCTTTTTGTAATAAATATATTAGTAGTAGCCAACTGGGTGTGTGGTCTATTTTTTTTCTTGTTTTGGAAAGTTTATGTTTTGACAGTGCAAAATATGCTATGAAAATATGAAAACGCATTTGCGTGTTCAGATGCCATTCATTTCAATGGCACCTAAAAACATGGCACATTTTTCTGCGTGACAAATGCGCTGCGATTGTGTAAAAATTGCAGGGTGTGCGATGCTCAAAAAAGATTTCAGAGCCTTTTTTGGCCATCGCACGTCTTACAATTTTATTTGCGTAATTGCAGTGCATTTGTCATGTGGAAATATGTGCCACGATTGCGGGAAAAACGCCCCACATTTTCAGGTGCCATTGAAGTTAATGGCACCTGAACACACGAATGCACGCGTTCACATTTTCACAGCGCATTTTCAAAACACGGGCAGAATCACAGCAATTCCGCCTGTGATTTGAAAGGCCTAAGTGTGAATGCAGTCTAACACAAGTAACAGGAAAAATCCTATACAACCACAATATAGCAGTGTCCCTCCAAAGAGAAGCCAAGAGAGCCACAATAATGTTGTAAGGTATAAAACTCACTTTTATTAAAATCAGACATGTACTTCCAAGATCAGAGGATATCAGAAAAGACCCTGAGACACCGATATCGGCATGCGTGTGACGTCACCAGCTTGGCCCTACCCAACATGTTTCTCCACCAATCAGTGTCGTCAGGGGTATGATGCTCCAAAATGATCTCTTTTCCATTGAGCAAGAGACTGAATATCTGTGGTAGAGGAATCATGGTCACATATGGGCTGAATGGCTTTTTTACAGAATATACAGCTGTGCTCAAACATTTGCATTTCTTAGCAGAACTCATGAAATTTTGGCATTTATATTGAAAATATATATATGACAGTGTTATTAACAGATGTTCCAAAGCAAATTATAATCATATAGATACCCAATTATTGTAAAATAAATCCACTACCAATATAAAGTCCACTCTGATTTTTATGTAAATGACTTAGTCACCCCTTATGACTAAGTCGATGACGAAACGCGTCAAGATGGAGTGACGTCGAGACGTTTTCCCGGAAACCAGAAGTTACCTGGCGGCCATTTCTGATAAGGGAGAGATCGAGCAGGAGCAATGGGACGTGTCTCCCTGGATGTCCGTGAGATTCCTATACCTTCTGTACTCCCTCTAATGCGGTTAAAAAGCTTTGGCAATGTGAGCAGTTTTAATAAAGTGTATGTTACTTATTTTATTGGCGGTATCACACTATGTCCTGTGTTTTTTTTTGGTGACACTGGAAGTGTCTAAGGAATCCAGAGAGTGGGGTGGCTGCGTGATACAGCAGAGGTTCCTGAGTGGATCAGCCTGTGAATTTCCTGGATGACTACAAAGCCCATTATATTGGGAAGTTGGTAAGGGTATCCTCACTGCTTTTAGAAGTGGATACACCCTTTTATATTGGAGTTTTCTGTGATGTGGCACTGAAATAGTGTTATGCACATTGAAGTGGTTTTTCACTGATCACGTGTGGTTCACGTTTTTTTCACAACTTTTACTTATTTTCACTGGAGGAAGCATAGATAAAGTTTATTTGATAAAGGTTAATGCACTATATGAGT